TACTATCACTGATTTTCATTCTCAAATATATTGACCAATGTATTTTAATTTGTTGGTTGGGGTTATTATCACAAGTGGAAGAAAGGGTGAAAGAACTGACAGTGAAACTTTGTTATTTATTTTCTTTTTAAATTATAGAGCTACCTGCATCAATGTGCATAAAAAAATAATATCAGTTATTCAATAGTATAATCACACAGTTGGTGAACTCTTGGCTATTACCTAATCAATGATTATTTAATTTAGATCTTTCAAGCTACCATTATTTCATTTACCTTAAACATGCAAAATGTTACTAACTACATAAAATCAAAGGAATTGCTTTTTTTGGGGGGGTGTGGTAAGAATATTTAGTTAAATTGGCTCTCTTCACTGAGTGTAACTTGCTAGTTTCTTTTCAATCTCGTCAATACTTGAAAGGACATTTGACAGCTGGGATTCATCCATTTCAAACTGAAACACATCTGTTTCCTGAAAAGCAATAAAATAATACAGTGAGGGGCTGAGGAAGGTTTATAAAAACGTGCAATGTCTTCGATTACAGCTATTCACAGGGTCTTTTTTTGTTCCAGAAAATATACATACCCACAGCCATTGTTTGAGCTTGTCATGTAGTGTTCCCTTCCCCTGGGACAAATAAAGGGTTTTAGAGGAGATTCGAGATAAGGAACGCCAAAGGCTAGGGGGGTTTAGGGGCATCCTCCCCTATAAAATTTTGAAAATGGAGGTCCCTGGAAATGAATTTCCACCATTCTGAGACCAAGTCAGCATGTTATAAATGTCTCTTGTTCTATATATGTAGGGGTTTCAACTGATTCCCTGAACCCCCAGATCTGCCCCAGCTTCCCCTGGGACACTATGCCCCCACCACAGAATTTAATTTATTTTTTTGTACTCCCCCACGGTTCCCCCACCCCATCTCTCTGAAATTCTAAGCTGGCTTCCTGCTTTGGCTTTCAAAACTCCCTTTCAGAATTACCAATGTTTGAACAACCTTTACAATACACAGTTAGCACAGATGCCAGATGAAGATATTTTTGATACCTTGCTTTCTGTTGATCTGTTTTCCAACTGCATTTCAACGATTGCCACAGGCGTGTTGATTTGTTGAAGATGTCTGCCTTGGCTCTTCAAATCAATCCTCCAGCTAACGTCCTTTAACTTGTTATTCCAAGAAGACTTTTGAACCATGACATCGTGGATTTTGACCTTTTGCGACTTCCAGAATTTTAAAAATGCAGCGGCTTGTTCTTGAGTAAGGGAACCTTGTTTTCGTTTCATCTGAGAGGTTAAAAAAGCTTCGAGTTGATTGAAATCCATATCTGCAGAAACGATGTTTCGCATCAAATTCTCGTATCTCTTCAACATTGCGTCAAATTGCTCCTTGTCGAGATCAGAGAAAAGCTCCTGGTGAAGAAATTCGTCCGTGATCTCTGATTCTCCAAAATATTCCCTCCGTGCTAAGCCATTTAGTAATCCAACAACATTCTTGTCCGCGGCAGCCATCTTTGATTCCAACCTGAAGAAATCCAGAGTAGTTTCAGTGAACCATACATAACATAGAAATCACACTTCTTTGGTCAGCGGATTCTCCAATGCTGTAGATACGTGGTGTAAATATGGTTTTATGGTTTGTGCTGTTTTCCAGAAGTCTGCGAAATGATTTCAGCTGTTAGGAGATCTTTCGGTTGCAAACAATTTCTTAAGCTTAGGGTATGTTCTTTTTGTTCAGCTGCTAGTAAAGATGTGCATGATTTGTATGATGTTACAATTGTCGGCGGTGGAATGGTCGGGGCAAGCTTGGCCTGTGCTCTGGGTGAGTGTCATCAATCTGTCTTACATGTTTATTTTTAAAACTTACACCGAATTGACAGCAAATTTATGGTCCAAATCGGCAAAGAGTTGAGCTTATTTGATCGATTTACGTGCGTTTCCTCGTTTCTTTTTTTCTACGAGGCCTTGAAAGAACTTTGGATGACCACAAGATTCTGTTATTGGAAGCAGCTCCGGACAAACCACAAAATATCACTTCTGCCTACAGTAACCGAGTAAGCAACATCACACCAGGATCCAAAAAGCTTTTAGAAAGTAAGATGTAATAGGAGACTTTCTACTTTTACAGTTATCCGCATATATGGAGACAATTTGCAGATATTCACAGGTGTTAAGGTTACAAAATAAAATGATCATGTCAGTGATGTAATAGGTTTTGTCAGGTTTTGTGCAAAAATAGGTTGTTGTCCATGGGACCCTTATGAGCCAGACAAGATTGACCGTCCCAAAAACAACGCACTCCATTCGGCATTAGGACTGTGTTCTCCTTTTAGTCAAATGTGCAGTTCCAGAAAATATCCATACTCCCCTCAGAGAAAGGATTGGAATTTCCTGGGGGTGTGTGTTGTGGAGGTAGGGGATAGGAGGGGTGGGGAGGGGGGGAAGGTGGTTCTGTAAGACCAAAAAATGTAAAGAAACGTATGAAACCTTAATCGTAATTTCCAGAGGGGTGGAGGGGAATCTCAGAAAAAAACCCGTCTATGCAGGAGGTATGGATATTTTCTGTAACTACACAATGTAATATGTAATTAAACTCTTGAGTCTAGGAACTGGGATGCTGATTGCAATAATGTATCTAATATTGAAATATGCATCATTATATTTAATAGTGTTGACATTCATGATAATATCAGACTGACTTATATAACATGGCATGATTTTGTTCTTGGTTAGGTATTGGTGCATGGGACCATATTTGTAACATGAGATATAAGCCATTTAGAAGAATGAATGTGAGTATCAAAAAATCCAAATTATGCAGAATTCTTTTTGAGTTACATCAAACAATTTTTTGACATCTTCAGCCAGAATAAAATGGATAATATTGCCAATTGAAAATGACTGGTTCTTCCTATCTTAATGCACATGTAAATGACAAGTCATAACCAAAATTGCTGATTTCTGGTTGCTGATGGATTAAAACTGCTAGATTAAAACTGTCACACTTGACTTGAGTCCCCAAATTTATTTTGATGTTTAGTCTGTTGTGTAATTTTATCAGCGTTCATTTGGAAGCATAAGAGGCTCAGTTTGCAAGCACTCTCTCCTCTGCAGAGGATCCCAAGGGTAAGGCAGATGGAAAGGGGAGTGGGAGAGTCTGCAGGAGATAGCATGTTTTCCCTAGACTCTTTCTTTGTTACAGTGTACCTCTTTGCAGCCTCCAAACTGCCAGCCTACATGGTCAAGATAGCAGGAAAGAGGCCTCTGTGGAGGAAACAGTTGCATCCCTGAGTACTTTAGTGCACCCACAATCCTCCCTATCATTACAGATGTACTGAATTAACTTGAAACTACACCTATGGCTGTAGTAAGCAATACACTGAGCATCCCAGCCTTAACCATTTCACAGGTTTTACTATGAAATTAGGACTCCCTGAGATACCTTTACCTTTGAGAAGATGGCAGAAAGTCTACCCTTGGAAGGTAACAATTATCAGTTTTAGTTGTCATATTATTCTAATAGACTTTCTTGTTTCTTAGATCTGGGATGCTTGTAGTGATGCACACATTTCCTTTGATCCAAGCTTTGTTGAGTCAGACAGCTCCAAAGACATGGGGTATATTATAGAGAATTCTGTCACCCTTGAAGCTCTTCGAAAACAGCTCAAAATGCTTCAATCTCGAGTTAAAGTTCTTTATGGAACGAAGCTGAAGATTTTAACTCTTCCTGACTTAACAAGAGATATGGTATGTTTTATTTACAAATCTAACAGGTCTCTTTTTAGAACGAAGTCCAGAGGACAGAGTACTATTAGAGATTAGAACACTGGAAAGGTACTTCAAGTAAGCAAAATGCTAGTTCCTGATCAAGAACATGCACTTCAGATGTTAATATTCTTGTAAGTTGGACACATTATGATGACATGGGACTGTAATTAACTTTGTGTACAGGTGAGTGGGGGAGCATCTGAATTCCCTCGCAGGGTAAAAAAAAATCGCAGAAGGATGAAAAGCTGGCAGGACAAGCCTAAAAAAAAAA